TCCAACTCCTAAGATTATGTGATTCTGTGATAGTTTAGCAAAGTTGTGTGAAAATAAAATAACTAGCATGGGTAATAATGATAAGCTAATAAAAATGCTATATTTTAAATGTTATCCTCTTTTCCCTAGTTAACCATTGCATTCATTAAGCCATGTCTGTCACCAGAAAGTTTCTTGAGACAGAACTACAACAATGTAACATTCATTTCAGCATCAGTACTACAGGTGTTCCACCTAGTTATTGTTCAAACAGTTTAGGTATTCTTCCTTTAAGAGCTCTCCCTCAACTCAGAAACGTTGGTATTAACAGTGAACCAAAAATATTTATTATTTAATCTATGACAAAAATATCTCTCTAGACTTATTAAAAATAATCTCAAAATTTTTAGGTAAAATATTAATCTTTCATTGTTACCTGTTCTGTAATCATAAGCTGGTGGCTTTCCATCATTAATTCAAATTTATCCCATGTAGCCCTTAGGTTACTGATAGTGTCCAAACCTGCACCAGCCACAGTTCGCAAAAGTTTGTTTTTTTCTTCAGCCTCTTGAAACAGGAGAAGAATCTAAATTCAAATGGATCAAAAATATGTTTATATGTAAAAATTCAGCAAATGCTCTTTATTGAAACTATAAGTAAACACATATACAGATACATATAAGCAAGAATCATCAACTGTGTATGCACAGATTATATGCTTTCATGCAGTTACTTTTTAAATACTTTTTACAGAATAACATTAAAACACTGGAAAAAAGTAGTATCTGAGGTATTTAGAGAAATTCTGAATCTTGATCCTAACATTAGATATACAGAAGTGGATGTTCACTACAAAACAGATAAATGCCTCTTTATGTATTGCAGAGATCCACTCAATCAGATTCAAGAACAGCAGCAGTGCAACAGAATTCAGTAGATGTGTATATATGTGCTGGGTCTGGCTGGGACGGAATCCATTTTCTTCATAGCACTAATGCTAAGGAGTTACACTGTTTTGTAAATGATAGAGAATTAATTTTCTTCAACATCCAGCAATTCTCCCAGAGTTGCTACAAAATTTAAATACTTATACCCAACTTAACACAGCTCTTATTGAGTTAGCAGCCAAACAGTTAAACTGTAGCCATGACAAAAATTGAGCTAAAATTACATTTCTGTACATGGGCTCGTTTACTAGGCATCTAAAACTCTATTATAACCAATGAAGATCACTGAAACCAAGTTCTCAGTCATTTAATGAAGTTTCTGGCATTACTTGAGATCCCCTACTTTATCCCATCTGCCTTACATCCACACACCTAAAATTATGGGACTTCCATATGTCCTGTGTCATATCTGCTAGCCTTGTATGGTGATCTTAGACATGCCAGTACATGCCCAAAACAGTAGACACCTACATATGAACAACTGCATTGAGCTCTTTATGGAGCTAAGAAATCAATGCAGGAGAATAAGGCAGAAGGTGTCTACTTTTGGGTGAAATGGATTGGTCTAGGATACAACTGAGCACTTTTACTAGGAACTTGATTAATTTTCTCATAAATACATGTCTAGTCCCATTTGAGATGCCTCTAGTTAAAACTACAGAAAGGCAGAGGCCTCCCAGAACTCCTCCGTTACATTTGCCAGTCCTGTGTGGATGCTGGATGCGCATTTCAGTAACTATAGAACTGCACTTGTGGGCAATTGAATCAGACTTCTGCTGAGTATATTAATAGGATGCACACTGCAGACACCTGCACATACACACCTAAACTCAGATGTCCTCATTGAGAACCGAATCTTTTCCTGGATAAATATTGCCCAGTTGGGAAGAGTTAATATGATTTTTGTAGAATTCCACAACTCTGTAAAACCAGAGTTCTTTAAAGGCATCAGTAAAGTTATGGATGAAAGAAATTAAAACTATATATTCCAATTTGGTTTCCAGAAAGCTTTTACCACAAACCCTCACCAAAGGCATTTAAGGAAACCTGGTAACCTCAACGTAAGAACAAAGGTGCTTGCACCGATAATTAATTGGGTAAAAGACAGAAAACAGAGATAGGAGAAAATGGCTAATTCCCACAATAGGAAAAGGCCACCCATGGAGTTCTGTAGGTACCTGTGCTGGACTGCTCAAGATGTTTATAAATAAGTAGGAATAGAGGACTAGCCAGTGAGATGATAAAGTTTACTGATGATACTATTCCAGGCATTAAAATAGTTCACCTGTGACGATCTGCAGAATGAACTTAGAAGAAATAGTGATCAATGATACCAGTGACAAACAAAATAAAAGTAGATATCCATGAAGTGACATATATGTGAAAAAATAAATTTCACATATGCAAGTTGAGCTCTGAGCTAATGACTGCAGTTCAGAATTGATATACTGGGGTTATATGACAGCCAGTTTTACAAAAATGCCCGTTTAATCTGAGCATCAGGAAGTAAATCAAATGTTAGGAGTCACAAGGATCAAAAAGAGAGTAAAAGAGATAATACTGCTATTTCATCATATAGATCCATGGTTCGTTCATATATTTAAACTTGTACAAAATACTGTTGGTCCCACAGAGAAAAGATTATTGCAGAACTAGAAAAGGCTTACCAAAGGGCAACAAGGATGATCAAAGCTATGAGTGGTCTTACGTATAAGGTAACATTAGGTAAACTAAAACTCTTCAGTCACGAAAAGAGATGCCTGATACAGGACACAACAAAGAAGAATACAATCATGTGTCAGGGAAAGGAAGACTAGAGACTGATTGCTCCATATCTCTTCCAATGTAAGATTTAAATGGTATGAAGATAACAGGTGGCAGGTGAAAAAAAATAAAAGAAGGGTCCTTCATGTAATGGGTAATCGATCTACGCTTTCCCAGAGGATATTTTGGATGCCAAAGGTGTATTTGCTTTCAAGAGGAGACAAGGTACAGTAGTGGAAGAAAAGTTGTAAGTTGTGGTCAGAGGCTAGAAGTGTGGGAAAGCATCAAATATGCTACCCCAATTTTATATTTTCCCCTCAGCAGACACTTTACCGCTGGAGACAAAATGCTGTGCTACATGGACCACTGCCCTGATCCTATATGGCCACTGCATGTTCTGAACTAGTTATAGTAAATGTAAGTTTCCATACAGGAAAGCAATTGCATTTTCTGATGGATGTTTTTCTGGATATGATAAAATAGTATCTTACCCCTTCTTTTCGTTCATGTAGGTTTAAATACTTTAAATTGTCTTCTGCTATCTCGTCTACAGTCTGGGGCCTAATCACTAATGTTTCCATGGCATCAGTGAGAAATGAAGAAACATCACATAGGTGAGCTATATAAAGGTGGAAAACAAAGTTATCATGGAGAAAATATTTGTAGCAATAAACATCCAAGTAAGTCAAACGTATTGTGATATAACATAAGATACGATAATGTACGTAAAGTATTTGCTTAAAAAACTGCAGATGCTTCAACAAAATATGCATGTGTTTACACATAGCTTTTTAAACATAATCTGCTGCATTCAGTGTATGATTTAGACCATAAGTGTCAGAGTCCTTTCTGAGAATTAAACATAAATATGTAAGGCATTTATTTATACACTTTCAAAATGTGAATAGGTCCTTTTTTGGTAAATGCAGAAAAATAGAAGTTAAAATTGCTTTTTTTTGGTTTTTTTTAGTTTTTTTTAAGAAACTAACTAACGCCCCCTTGCTTTAAATATTGAGAAGATTCACAAACAAAAGCCTGATTAAGCCATAATGTTGTATTTTCCTAACAAGTTAGATCCTTTTGGTACTGAGAAAGAAGCTGTACAATTCCAGGGAATAATGCATCTTCCAGGAAACAATTCAGCTTTCAGGCTGTGGAAATAATTAACTTTCTGCATAACGCGTGTTCTGCGTTTCCTGTGTTGATTGTTACATTTAAAGCACAAAGCACTGGAATTTCTCATCATCTACACCTTATTCCATTTTGTCTACCTGTTCCAGATATAGATAGATCATCCAGAAACAGGGAAATATTTTGCACTCTTTAACACTCTGCATTTTGACAATCTTAGTGACAAATAACTCTGTGGAATAGGTTTAGATTAAGACTCTTCCTGAAGTATTTCAATTTGTGAAAGAAAAATCTAGCATTTTTTAATTACATCATTTCATGATGCCTCCTTCAATTACCCTCAAGTGCCTAAAAAATTTTCCTCCCTCAAACACCAAAGAAATTTTCGTCCCTGAAATGACAAAGAAATTTTCCTTCAGACAAAAGAAACAAGAAAAACAATGTTTAAATGTATTCTTTACGTCCAGGACAGATGTGGCCATAACAAGTGAATGTGAAATATGCACATGGACATCAAAGGGTCTTCGGTTAGGCCTGTGGTGAAACAGGTTACTTTCTTTGCACTATGATTTCTGTAGCGCACTGTGCCCAAGAGTAAAATAGTCCTTTAAAAGTATTTACATTAACACAAATGTCCCTAAGTACAACAGAAACAAGGATTGCTATAAGTTAAAGTTATTTACCTTGAATAGATTTTCTCAAAGAAATTACAAGAACATCATACAACTTCTGGATGAAATCATCAATTACAGTTTTCACAGGGTTGCAATTAACAGTTAAACAATCTATCTTGATGGTGCTTCAAGACAAAAAAATTAAAAATAGCAAATATTCAGTAGTACATTCATGTGTCCATATTTCTAAGACCTATGCACATCTAGAGATTAACCTGATTTTGTAGCCTAATAAGAAAAAATAATTCTCACAATTCTACAGATAAAAGTCATAGCTTATAAGGGAAAATTACTCATACTATCGAAACATTTATAACCATTATGCATATACCTGCAGTTTTATAGGGATTAAGGTCTAATATTCTACTCCTCCAAATAGTTAGAAAATATCTTGATTTTATATAACCAGTTTCGCTAAATTCAAAAGGACTATTTCTATACTCTAAATGAAAAACATTTTAATTATTTGTACAGTCATGAACTAAATCTCTAATTTCCATGTGAATTTACTAACCCAGACTTCAATAGTCCTAAGAACATAAGAAAAGACAGCAATTTCAAGTCCCCATATCTAAACTCACAGTAACCATAGGTAGATGCCTAAAGACCACTAAGAAAAAGGGCTACTTTATTCAATACCTTCTGGAGTATCCTTCCTCAACACCAATTATTTTCAACTCACGGCACTCCATAGCCACATCCGATTTCCAGCTATAAGACACATCAGCCAATTTCTCTTCTATTTACCCAGTCATGAAAATCCTTACTACTCAGAATATCACTTAGCCAACAATTTCTACCAGTCCATTCTCCTGCATGAAATGTCACCTCTTTTCACTTGTTCTGAACATGATTCCCCACCAGTTTCATTTGAGAATGCTAACCATGCAATACACTAAATTCCATATGAATATATGTAAGAATAAAAGCCTACACTAGCATATCTTAAACTATAAGAGGTAATCAAGTGTTTCAACACAGAAATTATTTCATGTATAAACATTTACTAAGACTATTCCTAACTGTCACATGTACTCCACATGTACAGGACTCATGTAAAAGAATTGTTAATATATCACTGTGTTTTGCAGTATTTGAGAATCAGCCCCAAATTTTGAGGGGGGTTCCTATCATATCAAAGGAAGAAATTAAAAGTTTTCAGAGAAGGCTGTGCATATAAAAGGGAGTAAGTATCCAAAAATTAAAAAAACAAATCTAAACATTTTAAAAGTACATCAGTATTTTAAAAACACTTGAAACTCTACCTATATCTCCACATAAAAAGAGTATTTCTATTTTAGTATTAAAGTATCTGATAGAACACATTAAATAGATTTACACTATACCTTGGAAGACGTTCTGCTTCTTTCCCTCTCACTTTTAATGCTTTAAAGTTTTTTTCCCAGTCCTGTTTGCTAGAAAGATGTGTCTTCACCAGAGTTTCCATATCTACTTGGCCAATCACGATCCATTCCTTTTCAACATTATTTTTGATTTCATGGAAAAGAAATATTTTCCAGGCTAAAAAACTCTGTTTCTTAATAATATTAAAATACTTTAATAATGTTTTCATGCTATATTCTCTTTAACCTTTGCTCCTTCTACAGATTCTCTTGGTGGAAAAATCAGGAGGTACGAAATAGTTTGACATATTCACACATTTAAGGATAATCAAAACAGATTTTGAACAAGAGCTATAATACCAGAGTCTCAATGGGAACTGTACATATGCTTCAAGCCAGGTATGTGCTTAAGTGGCTGGCTTGGATGGACTTACTAAGCTTTTATGTGCCTTGTAGAAAAGGACAATAATGCACAAATGTCATAGCTCAGTTACTTCTAGAAAGTCTGAAGTTTAAAATTATATAAATCTCAAAAAGAAAAAAAAGTATGAGTCAGTCAAATATTGAAAATACCTTGAATTGACTAGAAACGTCTGTCAGCCTTCTGAACAAATCTTCAGCTTTACTGAAAGCAGTCAGAAATCCATTTGCATTTCTTTCGGTCATAACAGTGAATATAGACTCTTCTTCTGCTTCACTTACTCCCCTAAACTGATTTGGAATGGAGATGAATCTCTTCATTTCTCTATAATATCTAGCTCGTACTTCTTCAAAAGGTGGTCTGAACTGCAAGTAGCCTTGCCTAAAAAGTGAAAGAAATCATACAAAAACTAATATTTGAATGTAACCTGAGCCAGAATACATTCTTACTGCGAAAAAAAAATCTTACTTGAATGTTAGATCAATATTTATTTCTGGTAAATTCTCATTGAGTGCTTCTAAGCCCATTTGATACTGATGCTCCAGAGCTTTGTAAAGTTGATGATTCCAGTGCTGTCTCCAAGCTTTCATATCACATGATCTGAAACCCTAAAATTAAACAATTTTTATTTTTATTTTATTCCTCAAACCATAATTAGAATCTAACACTGAACATAGTACAATGACTGAAGACCAGGATCTTAGTTAAATTCAAAGAAGTATCACACCACTGGAACAGACTCCTCAGAGAAGTGGTCATGACACCAAAGACTGTCAAGAGTTCAAGAAGTGTCTTAACAACGCTCTTAGTCACATGGTTTAGTTTTAGGTAGTCTTGCAAAGAGCAGGGAGTTGGACTCGATCCTTATGAGTCCCTTCCAACTCAAGATAGTCTATGAATCTATGACCAGTTTGAATATTAAGAAGATCTAGAGCTATTACATCTATTTCAAATGAACATAAAAGTAAAAAAAAAAAAAATCCAAATCAAAGCAGTCTCTATGGCAGTTCATCATAACAACTTCACTAAGGTTCATCTCCCACTGGTTTTCTATGAGATTCTTCAAAGTTACTCTAAAATGCATGGAACTCTGCTAGAAATAAGATACAGAGCTGGCTGAATGAGAGATCTAAACCTGTATTACATCTTTTATTTTCCTATGATATGTAAACGTGTTTCTGCAGATCACAGATTTGATCTTAAAGAATTCAGATTTTTATTGGAATCTGCTACATTGCACTGTAAGAATATGTAAAGCTGTATCATACACTCAAGTCTACAAACGGTCACTTGTAAGCCTTCATTTTCAAAGGGGAATACAAGTTAAAAAAGAAATTTGAAACTTCTTCCATCTTAACAGGTTCTCTTCTTATTTTACTGGATAGAGATTTTCAGGTAGTGCTTTAGAGGCTTTAGAGGCAATCCAAGGCTGTTGCAGGAAGATACACATTTAAGGTCTCTCCTAGAGTTCAGAGCTGTCCAGAGGAACTCCTCCAATAGAAATATTCGAGAGATTAAGAAAACTTAAAAATGTCTCAATTAAGCCTTAAGACAATTATAAATAGCGGTTTTAAAGAAATATATAAAATCTTGATGACAACAGCAGTAAGACTATAACATCTTGCACTTTTGGATGGTGAAAACAGGATACATTTGGTTAAGTTTTATTACTTCTAGTAATGTTCCATGTAAAATATTCTGTAATACCAAAACAATTTTCAAACAGATCTTAAACCAAACATAGTGTATTAATTTTTAGAAAATATACTGACTTCAAGATAAAAACTTGCAAACTTAATTTCAAACAAAATTACAAACCAAAAGCTGAATCAATGTACTTATTTATAATTCACCTTATCTTGAGAAGATGGAAAAATTTCTAAGAAAAATAGAGTAAAAATATTGCAATAGCTGACATTAATGGTTCAGATACAACTGATCTACATGATCTAAGTTTTTCCCAATTTTTCATTTAACCCTTGTCATCTGACCAAGTGTTCTTCTTATCCAATTAATAGCACAACATGAAAAAGATTATCCTCATCTTCCTCATCTGAAATTTTACCTCATATCTGGCATCAACTAAGTAGTACAATCAGTTTTTCTGAGCTAGCTAGTAACTTCCTAATCAAAATTAATTCAATCATGCTATTTTTGTGTCTTAAAACTTAACTACAATTTGCTATATGATACTGAAATCCTGCCTGTGACTCGAGGCTGGCAAAACCAGTTCTGAGCTCCTGAAGTCCATCTTTCCAACGCCGCTGCTGGCGAAGTAGATCGATATTCATGAGAGATATAACCTGTTAAAAGATTTTTAAAGGATAATAGACATATTCATCACCACATTAATGAAAGAAAGGGCAAAGTAAGGTATAAGAGACATTATTTCAATTTCACCTGGAGAATATACCTTTTCAATGAAGTTTGTGTGCCACTTTCTTAGTTTTCTATTTTCAGTGGAAAGCCGTTCAGCAGCAGCTTGGAGCTTTTGGATATAAGATTCCAATTCTCTAGGATTATCCCAAGTTATTTGAGCTTTTCCTCCAGGACCCAATTTTGAATGCTTGAAAAACATACAACTTTTGTAAGGTTTAATAGCAAATATAGTCTACCACCTAGCATTTAGGATGTGATAATTTAAGAAAGACGGTTTTACTCCTAGTAATAAATGGAGGACCTCTCACTAATCAGTTGAGGCATAATAATCTGGCAAATCACAGACACGTGGACATATCATTGTAGCTACATCAATGCACTGGCGAAGGATTAATACCAGACTCTTAACACACCATGAAATCAATCCACTAATGTCGAGACTCCTGCCCCACAAACATAAGCAGAAATCTTAGGCTCTGAGGACATCTTAAACTCCTCCCTTCCTCTTTGTTCTGCATAGACCAAAATCCAATATACTAATAATCACTATCCAACTTCACCTGTTTATCATGACGTAAATTTGCTAAAATACACAGTAAAATTCCACCGACGCATAAGCAGCTTTGCGGAGTTCCATTTCTCTTGGCTTTTTATCAAGATTATGGGGTTTTTATGCATTTTGCTAAACACATAGAAGAAAATCAGAACACAAAAAAGCATGTGAAGTTACAAAACTGGACCTGTTTCTAAAAGATACAGGGCAGAAATAACATCATATAGGAGAATATGTTGTGCCTTTGAACATTTCTGCACCATCACTATCTTAGGGTCTGCACACTAAAGGAATCCGTGGCATACTCTGCAGCCAGCCCAAGGAAAATTTAAGTGACAGTTTGGTAACTTCTTCCAGGACACTTCTGAACCTACAATTTGGTTTGGACTCCTCACCATTTTGTGTGAACTAATACAGACCCCAACATCCCTTCTACTTTCAGCCTCATTCTTATACTCTGTCTTGCAAAATGGTTCTCAGGAGTGAGTTTCCAATTGTTTCTGTAATACTTGCTCTGCAGGCATTATTCTCTTGCGCAATATAGAGTTTATAGGCACATAACTCTCCAGCCATTCTTACATTGTAAGAGTGTTGGAAGAGGGTGGAATGCTTCAAACTGATCAAAACCAGTAAACTGAAATTCATGATATAAAACATGTCTCTCCAGACATAAAATAGAGATATGGTGTTAAAAAACTGTAGATTATATTGTAATTTTTAAGTTCATATTGTTCCTTCAAAACAGAAAAATGAAAATAAATAAATTCCTTCAAATTGCTCCAAATTCCTTAAAAGAATATAAAACTTCTTTAAGTATAGTGAACTTCCTAGCAGTTATTAAAAAAAACCACAACCTCTTCTCAGAGGTTTCACCTATAGGTCTTACCTCCATTATGTCTGAACACCAACCAACCATGATAAACTGCATGAATAAGTCAATATTCATGTAGATCCATATACTTTGTTCTTAGTAAAAACCAGAAACTATCTACTTTCAACTTGCTCAAAACATGAATTAGAAATATTCAAGAGAATTGCAAAATGCATAGAGATTTAATAACATTCAAAACAGTGAAACCATTCCTTAATACTAATTTATCTCCAGAACAAAGTATATGCCATTTGTACCAAAACAGACCAAAATGATATTATATAGAACTGTTAAAATAAGAGATACATTACCAGCTATTAAGGAATTGACCCCATTGTGGTTCATGTGTAAATTCAAACACTAAAAATAACTCCTAAGAGAGCATATTACAATCATATCCATGGTAAAAAGGAGTTAGTTTAATTAATTTTTTTTAAAAAGGCCCACTGTTTTTAATAAATGCTAATTAAACCAATGGTGGTGTTTGTGTAGGAAGACTGCAGGCAAAAAGTACAGTAAGAAACACTGAAAAAGCAGCACAGAATATGCACAGATACCATTGACATTTAAAATAAAAAGAGAGTGGAATTCTTTCACCTTAATTATCTGTTCAAATGCTAAAGCAGACTGTAACATCATCGGCTTCTGACTCTCAATCATTTGTTGATCAATAGAATTATAAAAGTGTGCCACCTGTATAAATGGAGAGGTTAAAAGAACAGATACAAATATTTACATGCCAATAAACGCAATGCAGGAAATTTCTGAAAGTATTACCCAATTGATACCATTAAGAAATGAGAACTAACTATAATAGTCAAATGTTTACAGAAATAAAGTACATATACAATGTTAATGTGATCCTATCTTCCTCTAGTGACAACTTCTAATACCAAAAAAGACTGCCACTTACACATGTTTGAGGTGATTAGACTTCACCTTAAGTGAAATAGGTTCAGCCTCTGATTTATTATAAGTGGAACGGTTTCAGTACTTTATGCAAATATAGGTATCTAGTGCCATTGCAGAGGCCTTCAAGTATCCATGATATCTGTCAGAATATGACACAAGATCTATTAATAAAACCTATTTATTTCCAGATTGGCAGCTGGAGTAAGATGGATATCCAGTAACTTGGTTTAGTTGTCCACACATAGACGTGTAATGTCTTGAGACAACTAAGGTTTCCACTTGGGCACCTGTCAATGATTCAGATGCATGGTTATCTTGTAGGTCACGTCATCTCTGCCTTAGCTGTGCAGGTGTCTCAGATATCAATGACACCTCATGTGAAGCTGAATTGAGCTACCTAAGAATTTTTACCAATATATACACATTTATTCTTCTATCTTACAGTAAGAGAAGAAAATCTGACACTGTCTTTCAATTGAAAAATAAGCCAAATAAAAACTTATGTAGCATTGAGCTCGATCAAAAAATACTTCCCTAGGAAACAAACACACGTTTGCATTGAAATATTTATTAATATATTTTCAGTTGAAAACTAACAATGGTGAGGACGAGCTGGTCCATTTTATATCATTTTCCTTCAGTTATAATAATTAGAAACTGAGACTAAAACCAGGAGATCAATGAATTGCTTGTCTAATTTTTGTATATTCATACAGTAACTTCACATGGCTTTAATACTGTAATTAATTTGGTTTCAAAAGAAGAAATATTCTGAAATTGTAAAGTATTTCTTTATTTTTGTTCTTTTTTAAGGACTTTGCTATTTTTTTCAAGAAACAAGTCAATTTCATACAGACAAACACAGCAAAAAGCTTAATCACACAGCCACAAAAGATAATAATCTAGAAAAGTCCTACTAATGCTGGAAAGTCATAGCAGGAAGTTATTATGACATTTAATCTTATACCTGTTTGAAGATGACTGCCTGCTTACAGAAATTCTGCGCAGTGTTTGCAACATGCTGTATTTTAGCTGGTATAGCAAATCCAAGTGCTGATAGCTGACGTACTTCTCTTAGGAGAGTCACCAAACGATCTGAATAAAGTACGTTTAATGTTCCAAAAACGTGATCCAACTCCATTACAGGACTATTAGCTTGAATGCTAAACCAAAATCAAATGAAATATATTATTTAATATCATTTTACATCAATTCTTTCTTAGGTGTATTTTATAATAGCATTAGAAACAACTCAAAAGCTCAATGTAATTCTATTACGGTTTTCTATCTTTATTAACATTTTCATTTACTCAGAAGTTATTCTAGTAACCTTTCTCTTAGCTCAAAGCTAGTGAAGACAAGAATAAATGAACAGTGCCTATTGATTTTGCTCACAAAGTTTTTCTGATTTGTTCAAATAGTTAGCATGTAACTCACAGCTAGACAATTTTTCTCAAATACACTGGATCTGTCATACTCTCTCAAGCAGGCACCTTGCAGGCCCCAGCCAGCCTTCAGCACTGTGAAGGGGAAGAAACTCGGAGGGAACCAATCCAAGAAGCAGGATTTGGATCAGAGGAACGTTTTGGTATACACAATCAGATGCTAAGAACATCAGCCTATCTTTAGATTTTACTTCATATTTTTTATACTGTAGTTATGCTTCTGCTACCATACTTTTAGCCATCTTTCATAAAAACTTCAGCTTTACTCATTTTGTCACTTTCTCATTTTTTTCTAGTTCCCATGTCCATTGCATCTCCCTTTGCAGTGAGCTACCTCTCTTCCTTTCAATTAATCTCTTCACATCTTTTTAAATTGCACAACAATAAAATTTTATGGTACTAATAAATTAGGTGGCCATTATATACTGGAGTGCTGAATCTGCTTATTTGTTATTTCAGAGTGTTTTTTATAAAAGAAAAGTTTACACATAACTATCAACTCCTATATCCTCTTAACAACCAAGCCTGGCAGCATGATGAAATTATAATAAACTCTTCAATTTTGTTTCTGCACTCATCCTCAATATTGTAAATTTTTTTAGAAGCTTTGAGAAGTTCTATCAAATTATACCACACTACAAATTTCAGCATAAACACTATATAAGCAATAATGTATTTACCAAAGTCCTGACTTGGGATTTGATAATTCTGACTGGATATTCCTACACCAATCATCAAATTGTTCTTGTTCATATACTTTTAACTGTTCCAGAAAAGAATCTGCACTTTGATGAAAAGTTTGAAATCCAGATAAGTCAGACAGAAGAGCCTCTGCCAACTTGATAGCATCATCCACCTTAAACACAATCACAAAGAAAAGACACTTAACTTTCCAGTACTCAATCAGAAAAATCACAATAAAAATCAGTATTACAAAACATCCAAGTGGGATTCAAAAACCAATTAAAAAAAAAAACCTGCATCTTGAATTGTGTCCCAGATGTTCACATTTGATTACAGTAGATTGGGTCTGAATAAGTTGTCTACCACTACTGAGATACCGCAGAGTATCCCACCTAGTCTTTAGTTATTTCTCCATAAAGGTACAGATCTCGCATGCATCCTTTGCTGTATCTATAAGGTCCATGTCAATACTCAAAGGTGTTTCAAATGGGATTTCACATCTACACATGGACAAATTAATCAAAACCCTATTCAATACAACCAGTGGAGATTTGAGAGCTATTTAAAAATTTAGCACAGCCTAAAGTAGACACACAACTGAAATGCATCATCTGAACTGCTCTCTAAGTCTTTAGCAGACCAAGCAGAAGAAATAAATGTGAACCCTGAGCTGCTGCTGCTGTTCAACTTAGCAAGCCGCACCACTGAGAAGGAGTGTTGATTAAATAATTCTTGGGAAGTTCTCAAATACCATGGTTTATGTACTATGATAATATTGTGTCTAGACACTAATGGAATCTTACCTTCAGCTCCAGCTGCCGTACCCATACAATATTATTGACGACTTCAGAAAGATTCTTGCCTGATAGCGGTCCAGAAACATCACCAGGAACACCATGGCAACGAGTTTCAAAGTCTGCCTGATAGTCTAACACAAGCAAAAATGTTAGACCAGACAACTCACAGAACAAGCTTCAAATTATTACTGTAGTTACAAAAACACACTAGGGACACTGACATAATTCTAAAAGTAAATAAAGAATTATAGTATTTGCAAAAAAAGACCCAAATCTAATGCAATTACATACTTTTAAATACATTTTTACCTCTGACATAATCTTGAAGTCTTGCTAGCAACGTTTCCCTTTCCAAAAGCAACTCTTTGCTTATATTTGGATGCTTTATCAGTTCCCTGTATTTCTGAAACGTTTGAAGAAGCTGTAATATGAAGTTTTAAAAAGTTATCTCTTTCTCCTGAAAAAAAAAACCAAACCCTAAACCTATTCTGATGCTACTCATTAATGTTGTTCATAAGTACTCTTTGAATCTCAGTACTTACACACCTGTGCTCTAAACTGACTACTTAAAAAGTCAATAATTTTACCTTTGGAAAGTTTTCAGACTACAAAAATACCCATACCTGCTGAGGACTGTCCTGAATTTCTGAAATAAATTTCTTCAATTTGTTTGCTATTTTTTGTTCTGCTGGTGCAATAATTCTTTCATACTGAGAGACTGCTGCTTTCCATAATGGCTAGAGATAATGAGTTCATATGTTAGTTAGGACTATCTATACACATCATAAAAAGTCAGAGAAAGAATGAGAATAAATTAAAAATATGCATTATACCTCTGTGTACGGATTATAGTGTACAGGATTTAGGCCAGCAAAAGGTTCAAACACTTGGGAAATATTTTGTTCTCCAGCTGGCAAAAAGACTGTAAGTTTTTCATGAAGTGTTCTAACAGTTAGAACCTATAATGGAAAAAATATTTTATATATATCCAACATATTTTAACATAAAACTTACATTTACAAGCAAAAAGCACAAGCAGAACATCCCATCCCTCTCCCTTCCATAAGAAACTTTTGAAAGGCTCAGGCAAACATGGATAATGGAATGCTATCTGACACTAGAAAGACTATAAAAGTGTTTTAATTCCCTTTTAAAACTTAAAACAATGACAATTAATTCTGTGTCTAATTAAATATATGTGTATAATTCAAATATTTACCTCATCAAGACGTTTGCCAAGTTTGACTAACGATTCGGGGATATATTTCTCACTTTTCCATGGATGTAGAGTATAATGTTGCCACAGTTGTCCAGTTAGGTACTCACAAGTTGACACCCATTGCTCACAAATCAAGATGCCAGCCTTTAGACTTTCTTTAACACTGTGAAATGCATCCTCCCACAGATTCAAAGCTGCTAATTTTCTCTGAACATATCTACCTAGTGAGCCACCTAGAACACAAAAAAGTACACAAAAGTAATACATCATGTTTGTTTAAAATAACTCCTTTAAATGCTACATGATGTTCCAATCACATTTTTTAGAAAAATAGTGTAATGTCTTGATTTCAAACCACAAAAACGTATCAACAACTGATCATTTTTCTTTCAGATTCAATACATCTCTTAAACATCTCCAAGTTAAACAGAGTTTGGTCCAATATCAGAAGCTGATGGATTTGGATTCTGGAATCCACACACAAGTATCTATCAGCAGTAACGGCAGCAGCTGGCTGTCCCCAGCAATCCTTCCTCTCATGCACACACACATCTGGCAGCAGCAAAATCACTGTCTTACACCTGTCCCAGAGTGTGGGACTGCTGTTGAGAGAATGAGAGAAGCAACCTCTCTGCACGTCCTGCTCTCACCTCCACATAGACTGAATAAACTTTCAAATGGCGGTTTATATAAAAAAATTTCTCCTCTGAGAAAAAGACAAGGAGTCAAACAGAAGGAAGACAAATCCAGTCTGCAGGCTGAAAGGTATCCAGCTCCATCTTGTTATTACCTGTCATCTTCCCAAGCATGTGTGAAGGCACCTACTAGAAGTGGCTGAATTACTGGATACTAAAAGGCAAATGATATTCATGGATCATAATTACAAGAAGAAAGCACCTTAATGCTGTAGGCTAGCACTGGTGCCTTTAGGAGGAAGAAGGTCTCTGCTCAAGCATTCATTTTACTTTTTCTCAACCGTTCACTTAATAAAGACTGCATAAAGGTTTACCTATTACATCCAAGAGATTATGCATGCGTGGCTGTGGATAAGGATCGTGTTCTGTTTGTCTCCACACAACATCAACAGTATCCTTGGTAGTCTCCACCAGATCCACAACTTCAAATAATGAGAGACTATCCAAGTTGTAAAAATCCTAGGAAAAAATATCCTTAATACAATTACTTTGCAATTAGTATTGCAGAAATATTTATACTTTTGTGAAGCTGGCAATTGCTATAGTTTCTTGGATTTTATTGCTTAAAAAATGAGCATTTGTGTAAGTTTATTTACATGAAGAATGCCCTGATATCTGAAGTGCCATTCAAGCAAGCATTTTACAAGTGCCAAAAATTTTACATGATAGTATTTATGATTATCATCTGCAATTTCAGTTTTCCTTTTTATAATTTCATGAGTCAGTTTCAAGTTCACAAACTGTAACATACTGTTATGTTTCTACAGCAGCTCTTAGTATTGGCATTATAGAGCATTACAGCTCTTAGTTGGCATTCACTTGCACCATTGTCACTAGAAACTACATAAAAAATCAACATGTAGAAATTACATTTAAAGCAAACTTTTCCTAAGAAAAAATAACTAGTTATATATTCATACATTTGAAAAGAGTGTACATATACTGACATATATTTCATAAGAAGAGTGTTTTTTACTAACTGAACAAATATATCAAAGATCACACAATAGAAAACATACTTTTGCAATGTCCTCAAACAGATCTTTAAAATGAGAAGCTCTCTCTTTACTACACCATTTACTTCCATGACGAGCACATTCTATCCAGAACTGAAATTCATCTGTTGGTGTAAGTATAGCTGCAAATTATAACGGAAAATGTTTAAATATAAAGCACACAAATGGTCACAAAATATTTTCAGAGAGAACATACTTTGTAAAGCAAATGTTTACTATATGGTTATGTAATTATCCTTCAACTTCTGACTCTGACTAGATATAGCATCAAGTTCATACCAACACACCAGAGCTGATGGTCACTAATTCCAATCTACTCACCACAACCTGCTATACTTCATACGCTGCAGTCACTAGGATAACAAAGTCTGAAAACTCAACCTAAAAATACATTATTTACTCCTAATTTAAAATTAACTATAAAAGATGTAATTGCAAAACAAACCTTGCACATCATCTTCACTGAATTTTGTTCCTGTGTAATTAGGATCTGATCTTCTGAGAACAGCACTCAAGCCAGCTTCAAGCTCACTTAAAAGTTTCTGGAGTTTGGGATCAAATGTTTTACTCCATCTCTCATCCTGCCATGAAAATTTCAAAAATTGTGACTCACACGATAGAACAATTATGATTTTCCTCCCATTAATTTTATAAAGAAAATATTCAGATTAATAGCAGTAACCAATCACATGGTGGGACATAATAATTTCTTTTTCTTCAAGTCAAGGAAAAGTACCTCATTCTTTTCACTTCTTAATACTGTAAAAAATTTTCAATCACAGTTGTTAAATTTATAAAGGCACTCTGAAAAGGTGTTCAAAATTCTTTATTAATGAATTTTTTTAAATTAAGTTTGGAATCTACTTCTTTAGTAGAATATGAAATTACTAGAATCAAATTTTAGAAGTTATTGTGTTCTTCTAAAATTATTCTATTACTATTATGACATATGAGACATTAAAAATATTTCAATGCTGAAACTCTGCTTGTTCAGCTTATGAAATACAGCCATGGTCACTGTTTCTGACAAAAAAAATCCAGGAAGGAAATATATGTTTTAATGGAACAGAAGGAAAAGCCTCAGAACATTTAAAAATGCAAAAGAAGGCTCTCACAATATTTTATTTTTAAAACAAAATATTTATCTCAGAACATTTAACTATGGAATTTCAACATTTCAATATAAATCACCAGAACATTTAAATTGGTATATTGCTCACCTTCAGTAGTACTGGTGCAAAAACTTGTCGTACAGCTTGATACAGGGTATTAATTGGTGAATCTAGCATAGATGACACAAGAATATTACTATGAAGATTGTCTTCTGTAATCACATCAGGTCGCAGCTTAAAGAACACCAACACATTATTCTTCGAATCAGTAGCTTCAATCTGTTACAAACAAGAAAACAGAATTTGTTTAGAAAACTGTCATTGACTGCATATTAAGCTAAATTACGTACACCATTTACACAAATTATTTACATAGAGGAAAAAATTATAAAATAACATATTACTCCCTATGGGCGCTGATAACATCCTGCTAGTATCTGATTTGCACTGAAAATGGAAATTTTTCTTATACTTTTTACTGAGTTCATAGGAACCTGAATTCCACCATCAAACATGTAATGCCTTTTTCATTATAAAATATCTGTTAATAACATAATTACTTACACTATTTTGGTTTTGAAAACTCCATTTATCTCTTTCTGTGGATAAAACAGAAACTTTACCATGTGCCTAGATAAAACTAAGCATGAAGTCTATCTTTTTTACTGCATTTTTACACTGCAGAACTTTGGGAATATTTTTCTAAACATTCAGTATTGTTCTCCTGAGTCTGTAAATACATAATTCTATTATAATTCATAGATTTCTCAAAGACAGAGACAGGCATGCCCCTTCATCAGTAAAATGTTACGAGTTTTATTCTCTTTGCAGTCCCATTTATGAGTAAAGTTCCAAAAACTGGCATAAAATCCATTATTGAAACTATCTGTGGCTGAGGAGGATTCATAAAACAGCAGAACATTATTAAACATTTGATAAAACAATATCACAGCTGAAATTCCAAATTCTGTGCAATTGTAAACATGTGTGAACTTTTTTTTATGTTATGTCCCGGCTTGAGCTAAATAGAACCAATTCTCTATTCGGTGATTTTACTTTTTCAGTTAATTCTCTTCTAAGTGAGTGTACTTTCTGAAACTAATGGCATGTTTTTCCAGACAGTGTTCATTTCTACAACTGATAGTGCTTGATGTTTATAGTCACTATTAGAAGGTATGTAAATACGGCTCTTGCTTACGCTTGCGCCTATGGAGACGAAGGCCACTGCCACACCATAAGTGCCATATCAGGGTGTTGTAAGTGAGGTGTCACACCTGTGGGGAGGAGTGGGCAGGACAGATGACCCAAAACTGACCAACAAGGTATTTCATCCCACATACGTCATACTCAGTGTAAAGCTGAGAGATCACGAGGGTCAAGCAAACAAGGGTTTCGCATCTTCTCCGCTTCTTCTGCCATGGCCAATGTTCGAGCAGAACCCTGCTAGTTCGTCTGCCTTCAATCCTGAGCTGTGTGTTCCTGAAATCCAGTTCCTGAATCCAGTTCCTGAATCCTGCTTCCACCTGCTGCCGGTTTTCCAGTGCCCAGCTCCACAGAGCCTCTGGTGACAGTCATCATGGGGGGAGGGGGATGGGACAGCAGGATTTGACATTGGTTTTGTATATGTTTGTATATATTTCATTACTTTCCTATTTACATTATTATCCTGTAGTATTATTGTTATTGTTTCATTAAACCTGTTAGTTTTCCAACCTATAAGTCTCTCTCCCTTATTCTCTTTCTCTTCCACTTCTGAGGAGGGGAGAGGGATTAATAGCTCTGTCCATCAGTCAGTGCCCAGCCCAGCTCCAAACCAGGACATGTTAAAAGAAACAGAGGGCTAGAAAGAACAGCTTTCAATTTTACTGGTCAGTATCAGTTTTATTTTCTTATCTTTAGCCCAACACCTACAGACATCATTTCACTGAGACAACAGGTATGCATCTGATCTTCCACAGTTGCTGACAGTGGCTTTGTATATCAGACAGTGGCTCAGCAGTACACCCCAAAAACTGATACAAGTAAATGTTCATTCTTGCATGAATATAGCATGCACTAGACTTGACAAACTACAAATAAAACAACACCAAGAGGTGTGTATATAAGTTATAGCAGTTCATGTGTTAATGACCCACTATGCTAGTCAGCAGTGCAGAAACAAACTGTCACTGACATAACAGACACCAGGTCACCGGTCTCACAGCAGAATGGGACACACGTCACGACTCGTGCTTTGCCTGTACACGTCATGTGGCAGTCACCACACTGTGTTCTGACTATGCAGTGACATTCACTGTCCATCACACCCCACACTCACTGAACACAAACACTCAGAGTAGGACATTTTACACAACAAATCTCAGATCTGCTCACAGCTGGACACATCAATCTGTAAAATGTGTGGTTTGGACAAACATCCACCTTGGGACTTGTCAAATATCAGCCAATGTGCCACATACTGGGCCATGTTTCCTGCATGGGCATTGGCAATACAATCCTTCCAGTTACCAGCATGCACCTTTGCCCAGGAACAACACATACATCAGACTCTATCTGGCACTTGCAGCAAGGAAACATGTCATTCTCCAGGCTGTATTACATTCATATAGGGACAATATAGAGCACACTAAAACTACACATCAGCATGGGTTTATACAGTTGCTCTATCACTCAATGCCTCCTGCCCACCCAGAGAGGAAAGGAAAAGAAGATGCATGGGTTGAAACAGAAATATATTTAATAAAATAATAATAAAACCTAATATTAATAGCAATTATGATAGAAAATACACAGTCATACTCAGACAGTATTGTGGGGGAGTAGGCCTCAGGAGTAGGACGGTAAACAAGTCTCTCTAGAGATATCAGCCACGGAGAAGAAAGGAGCAGGAGGGAGGAAGAGGGCTGTCCCCAGCAAACTGCCCAATATACAATGAATGTGACATTTATAATGTGACAGAATAATTATTAATTGGTCAGCCTGTCTTTTGCTCCTCCTAACTTCTGCACCTGGCCAACTCAAGGCTGCTGAAGACCTTGAGCACTATGGAAACCTGCATACCTGAATTATTTGAAAAGCTGTAAGTTTTATCACTTTGTTCCAATAAAAAAGTGTTGCAGTCCTTACAAAATTGTAGTTTTTCTCACAGGAAAACTGACTTTAAAATTCTGTCCCAGTAAGCCAGGACTATACACTAACAAATACATCACACAGCTGACCAAATGGTCTTCCAAGACTCTTGGGCCAGTAATTTATGCAGCAGACACTGAGACCAGTAGTGGAAAGTAAGCATTAGGAGGATGTGTCCCAAATCAGTTAGTGGTCTTTCATGACCACTAAACCTGGACTGGACCCCGGGCTCTGCATCCCCACTCGCACACCAGGATGTGCTGGATCCACAGGTGCCCGGGATGTGGTGGACACGCTGGATCCACAGGTGCCCGCACACGCGCCTGGCTGGACACCACGGTACCTTGTTGGATGCAGTGAGCTGGGTGCCTGCGTGCTGCACAACGAGGAGGAATTCGTTGCCGTCGTCGAGGAAGTTGCTCAGCTCCGGGCGGGACCGGAGCCCCGCGGCCAGGGCAGCGGCACCCGCAGTGGGATCCAGCCCGAAGT